AAAGTGAAATGCTCAGGAAGTGCTTCAAGGTAAGCAAGCAAGATACCATTGAAACAAACCAGAAAGCCACAGGAAGTTCTTCTTCACTCATACAGAGAGTAACTAATGGTCAGCGGAGGTAAGACCTCTTTCCCAAACACAAGTGGCCTCTCAAGATGTAAGTATTTACCCTTTTATTTCCTAAACTGATGCAATCACAGCATTTCCCGTTTTACTAAAATGCACTCTGCAGAACAACAAATCTATCCTCAGCCTGAAATTTGACACATTCTGTATTTAAAAATTCTCCAGCTCCCTTTAGTGGTTTCTGTTTTCTCTTATACAGAATAATTCATTCATGAATTTGGTCATTCCCTGATTTAGGGAATTTCAGGGTAATTAGTAAGGGATTAAGATTATTTTTTTTTATTTCATTGCTTTCTTTCCAATATCAGAGACAAACCCTTATGCTCCTCTGTGACTTTAGTGATTAAAGTTTTAAGATCATATTAAATATCACATGTACAACAGAAGATGAGATGCAGTTACTCGTAAAGATCTTCCTGATCCTAGATACTTAAGGAATTTGAGTCCATTTAGTACTGAAGCCTGCCTTCAAGCAAGCTTTTCCCCTTGTATCTCATGTCAAATGTTGCTATTAGATGTATGTTTGTCCTGGGTTTAGCTACAGCAGTCATTTTTTATTCCTTCTTGGTAGCTGGTGCAGTGCTGTGTTTGACTTTCAGCCTGGGAACAATGCTGATGTCCTGGGTTCAGCTACAGCAGTCATTTTTTCTCCTTCTTAGTAGCTGGTGCACTGCTGTGTTTTTGACTTTCAGCCTGGGAACAACGCTGATAACACCGATGTTTTTAGTTGTTGCTCAGTAGTTTACTCCAACCAAGGACTTTCTCAGTCTCATGCTCTGCCAGGGAGGAGGGAAGCCGGGAGGAAGCAGAGACAGGACACCTGACCCAAGCTGGCCAAAGGGATATTCCACGCCACAGCACGTCATGCCCGGTATATAAACTGAGGAGAGTTACCCGGAAGGCCCAGATCACTGCTTGGGTTGGGCTGGGTATTGGTCGGCGGGTGGTGAGTGGTTGTGTCCTCTCCCCTTGTTATTTCTCTTATCATTGTTATTGGTAGCAGTAGTGGTTTGTATTATACCTTAGTTACTGGAGAGCTGTTATCTCAACCCGTGGGAGTTACATTCTTTTGGTTCTCCTCCCCATCCCTCCGGGAGTGGGGGGAGGAAGGAAGAGGGGGGGATTGAGCGAGCGGCTGCGTGTTTGGAAGTTGCCGGCTGGGCTTGAACCACGACAATGGTAAAACAGAATCCTTTTCAAAGACACACACCACTTCCAAAAGCTTTAACATAGGTCTGTTCCCAAAGCACAAACTTTGAGAACTTGCTGGCAAACCGTCAAAGACTTCAGAACAGAAAAAGACACTGACAGAAAGATCATGCAACAAGCTTAACGGTCTTCTGCCCTTCAAGAACAAAGCAACACCCCAGATCCACTATGCCCTGGAATGCAAAAGTCATTAAAGCTATGAAATTAGTTTCTTAATTTTCCTTAAATTGTGATATCTACACTCCTATAATTTCACTACTTAAACATCAGGAAAAGGGTTAAAAAAAAAAAAAAAACCCGACGTTTTAAAGTCTACAGGTTATTGCTTTGGTGTCACTTTGAGAAACAGCACAACATTACTGAATATTAAGTTTTTATAAGGAACACTCAGAACAATTACTGCTCCCCAACATAGTGCCTACCCTGTCCCTTCATCTTACAGTCTCATTTTAACAGATAGGTTTCTAAAGAATCACTCTGCACAAGTACTATTCATTAGAACACTTACCTCATTCCTTGTTTGTATGTCCTAGAGATGGCTCACATTTTTCTTTTCAGTTACAACTGCTGTATTACTCATTTGTGTATCATCTGATTATAAAACATGAAATCTCTCCAGCAGTTAAAGCCTAAACATTTCAGTCAGTCTCTTCAAATTAGAATTTCACAATTTTATCTAAGTGAGTTATTCCTGGCCTACTTGGTGAGCACTGTCTAATACTACTAAATTATTTTCGCTTCAACTATTCACAGATTATTGATGTGAGAACTGCATGAACTTTATAGCCTGAAATAACTTTCACCACTTTGAACTGCTAATTATTTAAATGAAATTTGTCTGGAACA